CTAAGCCCTAAACCCTAAACGGCGTAGCTAGGGAGTGGAGGGATGATGGAACCCCGTACTTTTCTCATGTTCCCGTTGTTCTTTTCCATTATCCCCAAACCCTCAACCCTAAATAGTCCCTACATAACCCCATTATAGCCCATTATAGTAGTCTCCATTTTCTTTTCCATTATCCCTATAGAACCCCAATATAGCCCTAATAATTATGAATCCCTTTTCTCATGTTCCCGCTTATTGGGGTTATATAGGGATTATGGAAAATAAAATGGAGACTACTATAATGGGGCTATAATCCCTAAACCCTAAACCCTAAACCTTAAACCCTAAACCCTAAGAATCCTTTTCTCATGTTCCCTGCTCTTCGAGCAAGGAAGCCATGAGGCTGGTCAAGGCGTTGGACAACCACAACCTCGCGGTGCTTGAGTCTTGGAGGGAGTTTTGGGTAGGTTTAGGGGTTAAGGTTTCAGGGTTTAGGGTTTAGGGTTGAGGGCAGACCCCCTAAAATGATCCCATACTTAAATTGGGGAATCTTCCGGATTATAGCGCGGTTCCATTTTTCGGATCGTTTAAGGGGTCTGAGTGAGCTTTTTCCAATATTTTGCCGCTCACTAGTCACAAGTCACGAATTATTTCGTTTGCACGGAGCTACACACAAGAGGAGCAGCCCTGCGCATGGTGGGACATGGAAACATCAGCTCAAGTGCAGGCGGCCGCAAAGGACGTGCCTGCAACCTCGTCCCAATTTGTCCCTCCTTTTTTGCTCATGTTCGGTTTTCTGCACGGAATACTAGAATGCTACATCAACACAGCAGGAACATCTGTGCCACTATCAGTGTCTTCTTCCTTGTATCTTGTGATGAAGGCTTCAGCATGTTTGCCTTTCCCTTACTTGACGCCAAGGTGGTTGTGGACGAGGGGGCCATTTTCCCGTGGGAAATCCGCCGAGTAGCTCAGATGAAGGCTGGGCGTGGAATCACGCTGAAGGTGGCTCGCGGCGGCTTCACGGGGTGTTCCTTAAATTACAAGACGGCTCTGGAACATGGGCTCTTCTGCTGCTTGGATGCGTTTCAGAAAGAAAATCCTTTGGAAGCGTACCCCTCGCTTGATTATTGGATGTCCTACTTCCACGTTGCCGAAAGTCATGCAGACATCTACCGGAAACCCTAAACCCTGAACCCTAGACCCTTAACCCTTAACCCTGAACCTTACATAAACCCTAAAGCCTAAACCATGAGGCAATGTCGGCTCCAAGCATACGATGGGAGTCGGGACAGCAGCCATTGCACATTTCTGCGCCGCACACCCAGGCGGCCTCTTTTTTCCCAATGTGGGCCTAAACTGCTTACTAAGGATAAGGTTTAGGGTTTAGGTCTAAATTGTTCAAAGGGGGGGTTCAAATAGGGGGCTATATACTAGTATAGGGGAGTGTTATAGGAGTTATTCAGGGGGATACTACGACTTGAGACTATGGCTCATGTAGAATTCATTGAAACGTCACAGATTTCGAAAAATGAATAACGCTTCTCTTTGTTCCGTGATGAGGTTGAAATGACAACATGAGGGTATATGCACCAGCAGTTCCCGGGAACCTCTCAGTTCTTTGGAAACATGGCAGTTTCCCTAAACAGCGGGACCACAATTAGGTCCCAATGTACTACAATCCTTATTATAGGGACACCCAAACAGGGTGCTCTGAACTTGGGAAACCCAAGCCCTAAACCCTAAATAGTAGTTTCCATCTTCTTTTCCAATATCTCCATATTGAGGGCTTTGGGTTTAGGGATGATGATGATGATGATGGTGGCGCCCTAAACCCTAAACCCTTTGGTGATCGTTGTGGTGTTGGTGATGGTGATGTCCACTACTGTTTAGAGGCCGAAGACGGCGAGAAAAAGTCATGACAATGTGTTTAGGGTTTAGGGTTTAGGGTTTGTGACCGTATGGACTCTGACGGTGTATTTTAAGCTAGGATCGCAAGGAAGTTACTATGATGACAGTCGCTTCAATTTTTGGCTGTTGAGCCATTACCTCACCTCATAAGCATTCCCGATGTTTGGCTGTAAGATCCAATATTTGCTCCTTTTATCTCTGAACCTGCACTACACGTTCCAATTGAGAAAAAAACCTTGTGACTCTCAGTCACCTCCCTTGAAGAAGCCAGCACTGTTGTGTCCCATTTGCATTTCCTTTCTAAAGCATGGGAGTGCCTGGCACCCACATGTGGTTCTCCAACGAAAGCTCAATTGTACAAGACCTCCTTGATTCAGCCAATAAACGCACGACACCAATGCCGACAGAACAAAGAGAAACTGGCATTCTGCTTTCGAAGGTTCTTTTTGGCAAGCATTTAACGACGGTACCCACGAGGATGTTGTCGGATCTTACGGTGTAAAATGTTGGAGAAGCCGCATCAGGAGTGTACCAGCCGATTGGTTACGGATCACCTCGTGAACGGTTCGTGGACGACATCATCAAAGGCGGCATCAACTTCCAGAAAGGCTGGTTCTGGGCTGTAGGGCGGGACGGACTGGATAAGGGGATTGTTGCTACGCACCAACCTAGCAGCTGCGAGCACTCACTAGTGTTGATGCTAAAATCCTGCATGACATCTTCATATACTGTAGTGCCATTATTCTCAGGGTGCGAGGTACTTTGGGTCATGCAGCATACAGGATCTTTCGTATTCACCGTAGTGCCTCTTTTCTTGAGCCTCGGGAAAATCCTTAAACCCAAAACCCTAAAATCCTAAAACCCTACACCCAAATCCTAAACCCTAACCCTAAAACCCCAAACCCTAAAACCCAAAACCCTAAAACCCTAAAGCCCTAAAACCCCAAACCCTAAAACCCTACCACCATCTACCACCCAAAGCCCTAACCCAAAACCCTAAAACCCTAAACCTTAAACCCAACTGCGCCCAGCAGGTCGATTGTACGTGCCGGAAGGCCCAGGTCTGGGAGTGGAGCTAGACGAGGCCATTTGAGCTATAGTCTAGTCTAAACTCCTTCAAGCGGGGATATATAGGGGATTGCAAAAATTCCTTAAAGGGGTGTATATAAACTCGTTGAAGGAGGTTATATAGGGGATCATATAGAGGACCATACTAGGGTTGGTAATAGCCATTGCAAAGCCATGCTCTGCCGTCAACATTGCAACCATTAGCGCACCGCGTAGGATATTCCAGAGAATTCCCGAGATGACTCTCCAACCCTACCCAAGGCACCTTGAAGTTTGCGACAAATAGAACCTCCCCGTGATTTCTTAGGTTCCCCAATGTAGGAATGGGATAAAATATTTTTGGGGGCTCCATTTTTCGGATCCTTTAGGACTTTAGGGGGTCTGGGTACATCACTGAGACAACGAGGCGAAGCTGTTGGAATACCGAGTGGGACATCCTCTCACTGTTGGGCTGGTCCGCAATCCCCTGGACCTCTCGAACAGCATCCCTCTGCCAACCGCCGGCCCAAAAATGTGGCCGGCGCAATTGCATGTGTAGACGCAAAGTGATTACATAATTTGTCGCCAGTCCTTGGCGTTCTTTTGTAAATTCGATTGCAGTTCTGCGGGCCGGTCAATGACCGGCTGATGTAAAGACTCGTAAAGACCGCCATGGTACATATGAGCTATAGTCTAAACTCCTTAAAGGGGGATATATAGGGGAATATGGGGACTACTATAGGGGATATTAAGGGGGATACTGGGAGTTTAGACTATAGCTCATATCAGAATGCCCCTTGGGCATTCTGTTGTCTTGGGATAAGGTGCCCAACGCAGGCATCTCCATACCCAATACACTCGTTATTTGAAGCAAAATGGGCGGCCCTAAACCCTAAGCCCTAAACCCTAAACCCTAAGCCCTAAACCCTAACCCGAAACCCAAACCCTTGTCCCTATATTCCCTTACACTTTATAAGCCGCAGTCTAAACTCCTTAAAGGGGGGTTTCATAGGGGATTGTATAGGGACTTCTATAGGGCTTATTAAGGGGGATACTAGGAGTTTCGACCCTAAACACTAAACCTTCAACCCTAAACCCTATATTATGGGGTTTATTAAGGGGATACCGAGAGGTCAGACTGTAGCTCTTATGTGTTTATACATTGTAATCGGATTGGGTAATGCCATCAGAGCTACGACGTACGGCTTGTCATGCTGTGTATACTGTATACAGAACAAGACTCACCAGGGCGCGGTTAGGGTTGTAGAGTTTAGGGTTTAGGGTTCAGGGTTCTAGGGTTTAGGGTTATATAGGGTTTGGGGTTATAGGGTCATGGGGTTTATGGTGTAGGGTTTAGGGTCCAGGGTTTAGGGCTATGCTTTCCTTCGGTTAGCTGGGAATGAAGGAATGGAAAAGAAAATGCATGCCAGTATAATGGCTTATATAGGGACTGCCATCCCTAAACCCTAAACTTGTAATGGGTTACATGATGGACTACTCCTTCATTCCTAGCTCACCTAAGGCCAGGTCTGTGGCATGCCATAATGTAGACCCGTGATTAGTAAACGCCTTCCTTCTAAGGGCCATAATATTATGGGTTCAACTAGTACCCCCCTCTATACTACCCCCCAAGGTTCCCCCCTAATTAAAAGGGATACTTTAGGCCAAATAAAGGCTAATTAAGGGGGAACCTAGGGGGGTAGTATCGAGGGGGGTACTAGTTGAACCCATGATAATACTATAATCCATTAAGGGGACGGGGTTCAGTAACCCTAAACCCTAAACCCTAAACCCTAAAGCTTAAACATTAGTCTCATACCGCGTCTTCAGCACCAAAAGCCAGCCCCACACTGGTCTTTGGTTAGCTAGGAATGAAGGAATGGATCCTAAAAGTAGTCCGTTATCTAACCCATTATGGGTTTAGGGTTTAGGGTTTAGGGTTTGGGGTTTAGGGTGTAGGGTCTAGGCATAGTAGTCCCTACATAAGCCGTTACATTAGTTGCCATTTTCGTTTCCATTCCTTCATTCCCAGCTAACCAAAGGCCAGAACATTGATTCAGAAGCTTTCCTCTTTCCTTCACGTTCTAAGTCAGGCACTGTCATAAGCATGAGCTGCCAGTTGTGGAAGTGGCGACAAGGTGCCAGCCAGCATCATGCGCTAACGCTGCCCTAAACCCTAAACCCCTAAACCCTAAACCCTAAACCCTAAACCCTGAACCCTAAACCCTAAACCCTAAACCCTAAACCCATATTCTCTCTACTTAAAGGGGAACTCTAAGCGGAGGCGTCAGAGAAAAGTTGTAAAGGCCCAAGTTGGCCGCACGAACCGGGCAGGCCCCTCCCCAGGAAATTTTGAAACCCCACGGAAATAGGGTTATATTGGGGTTCTATGGGGGGATAATGGAAAAGAAAATGGAAACTACTATAGTATTATAGGGATTATAGTAGGGTGGTTGTCAAAATTATGGTCCCTTTTTGGGTACCCTTAATATTAGGTGCCGTAGTATAATAGGGAGCCAGAAAGGGACCATCATTTTGACAACCGCCCATATTACCTTCATTACTATTATTGCTAGTGCTACAAATCTAATAGTATTAACATTCTAATTTTTCTATTGTTACTAGTAGTTTTCTTATTCTATTGTTATGACTACTTTTTTGCTATTATTTCTATTGTGCATCGGCGCGGCGCCCATGCTTGGTGCCTTCGCTGCTCCCCGCAATGCTCACTCCAACATGCGCCACAGTCTAAACTCCTTGAGAGCGGGGGGTTATATACGGGGATTATATAGCGGAGTATTATAGGGCGTATTAAGGGGCATACTAGGAGTTTAGACTATAGCTCACATGCCCGAAGAATGATAGCTCATGGCAGATTCTGAATGTCCACGCAATGAGAGGGCCGCGGACATGTTGAGAATAGCCGCCCAGATAGCTATCTTGCAGATTGTGAGCCATTGACTGCTATGTCGGAGAGAGCTGATTATTTACACACAAACCCTAAACCCCAAACCCTAAACACTGTTAAATCCTAAGGCACCTAACGCCTAAACCCAAAACACAAAACCGTAACCCCTAAATCCAAAACCCTAAGTCCTAAACCCTGTTAAATCCTACAGCACCTAAACCCTTTAGCCCTAAACCCCACACGCTAAGCCCTAAACCCTAAATCTCAAACCTTGTTAAATCCTACAGCACTTAAACCCTTTAGCCCTAAACCCTAAACCCTAAACCCTTAAACCCCTAAAATCCTAAAACCCCAAGTCAGAGCCTTTGCGCTTGCGAATCTGCGCCATGGCGGAGCTTGAAACACAGGTCCAGGCCGAGCAGGAGGAAGAGCAGAAACAGGAACCACTTCGTTCCTGGCCTTCGGGTTTAGGGTTTAGGGTTTAGGGTTTAAGGGTTTAGGGTTTAGGGTTTAGGGATCGCAATGCAATGCTAAGACTCTGGTAGAAGGGGTTATGGGGTCTGGGGTTTCGGATTTGGGGTTTAGG